TTAAGAAAACAGTAAGATTTTTTTATTGTTCGATTATCGGATTTAAACGAACGAATGTACGAACGGAACAAATAGGAAAAGATTTATTATATAAGTTTTGACGCTGGTTTGTATTATTGATTTCATCGTTTAATTGATGTTGCTTTATAACGGAATGTACAGGATTTTTTTTTACGTTCGAATAAATTTATAATTAATTTTTAATATAATTTTATGTTCTTCATATTTTCGTGATTATTCTTTGAATATTTATTTCTAATCGTTACGAATGTGAACGCATTTCTTTTTGTATTATTATATTAGAAAAATAACTGTTTTTTTTTTAAACTACTTTTTTTTCTTTTTATTATTTTTTTGCTTTTTATATGTTCAACGACGAAATATTGCTTTGACAATTTTTTTTTTCTTTTCACCACTGTATATATATCAGTTTTCTCTCTTTTCCGAACACGTATATGCACGTATACACGCACAAAAAATATGTGTATATTGTATGTACGTTCGTTCGTTCGTTCGCAGAAAATACCGTAGGGAGAATATCTTTTCTTCTTCGACGTTGGAAATTTAATTATCGCTCGAGTTGAGTCAGCTCAACTTGGGTTTCACATATGTACGTTGCTTGGAACGAACCGTCAACTCTAAATCGTTTCACCAAGATTTCTCGTGGTATATTATACTGAAGTGTCTTATTTAGAATTACGTTTTACTGTATTATATTGTTTAGTATTAATGAACTAATTAATAAATTCTTTTGATATTTTATAATATTTCATATCTACATAATTATTTTATTATTTAGTTTCAAAAAAAAAGAAAAAATACAAGAATATATAATTCAATATACATTTATTTCATTGATAAAAAAATATAGAAACAAAAAAAATCAACTAGTAACTTTAATAATGTTTTGCATTTTTATTATTCGACAAATATCAAAATAATAATCAAAATAAATAACGTTAGCAAGGGTAAAATGTTATTTTTTAAATGTATAATTTAAAAAATAAAAAAAAATTACATATCAATCAATAAATAAAATACAAGAAAAATACATAAACGTATATCTTTAAAACATATCACAGAGAAGCAGGAGGAGGAGGAAGATCGGTGATTGGATAGTAATTATATGTATATAATTTTCATTGGATGCTTACGAACCAATCATACGCCCGCGATACTACTGCTCGCATGATTGCGTTGTTTGTTATTGATGGTATTCGAATTGCGTTAAGGTATCGAATTTATACGTTATATTTATGCATACGTTCGATTACTTACCACCACCTTTCTTTCTCAGGGTTAGAAACGTACCGATTAAATGATCGTTATCGTTTTCATTCGTAAAGCACACGATTTATTTGCTAACAGGGCCGCACCTTGCAATAACCAACCAGCGTGCTTGCTAAACTTACTACGAGAAATAGAAAAAGGAAGAGAGAAACGGAGAGAGAAAGAGAGAGAGAAAAAGAAACAATAAAAAAGAAATAGAAAGAAAGAGAAAGAAAAATATAAAGGATCCTTCGCGACTAAAAGCTTTCGCACGGTTCGCTGATATAACGAGAACCCACTAATTACTTTCGTTCTTCTTTCGTCGCGATTTTTGTGTGTATATGCTCCTGTTTATTATTCCGTCACAAATTGACGTAACGATGACGATGAAGGTGACGTTGACGCGGGAAATTTTTTTTTCTGAGGTAAGGTGGGTTGGGGGAATATTTTTTGTAATTAAAGTAAGAAACCTCTCTTTTTCACTTCTTCCCTCTCCTGGATAATTCAATCATCTTACTCCGTTACTAATTTATCCTTAAAATTTAAATTTATAAATATATGAGCCGTTTATTTTGAAAGTGGTATACCTCCATTTATGTTCGAATCGAGATATTAAAGGGTTTGTGTTTCAATGTAATAAAAAATATTCGTACAAGATACTAACGAGTTATACTGCTTAAGTGTATCTAAAGGTATTAAATTTATATTTCCTAATAAAATAGTGGCAATTATTAAGTGAATAATATGCGTTTTCTAACCACGAATGGAGTTAGGCCATTGTCAGTATCAACATTTTGATTTGTTATAAAATTTCAAAGGGACTTAACTCCATTCAACATAATTTAAGATGCTTCAAATTGAAAAAAGACAATACTCAATTTATTTTACATATCTTTAAAACACTTCAGAAACATAATTTATGCGATTCAAAACATTTTTTTACTACATAACGTACAAAATTACAAACATAACCTACAAAACAATTTACTACTCATCTACATTTTGTGTGTGTCAAAGGTATTTGAAGAAATCATAATGTTCCAGTGATATATATCGTAATAGGTCAATTATGTCCTTGAATTTTGCTGTTGTAATTTGTCTAATATTTTTATATAGTGGTGTTAATACAATATTTTTGAACTTTCTTTGTCTACTCCGACGTGGTAATACATTCAGAACTTTAAAATTTTCATTCTCATTCATTGATGTCTTCTAGAAAATTTTACACAGTTTATTTCTGACAAAACGCATTCAACATATTTTTAACCAGTTCTTCAGATTCTTCATCAGAATTTTTTACCTTTTTCAAAATAGCGTCTTCTAATAATTTTGTTACTACAAAATCCTTTTGTCTCATTTTATTTACAAAAGAGTATTATCATATTTACTCGGAATATACGCAACCTCAAATGCTTCATTGATACATTGTACATGAAGTTGTACAATAACCACGTGCAATCGGAATATAATAATTGATAAATGGAGTTAGGTCACTTTCAAAATAAACTTTTTCATCATTCCATTATTCATGATTTTAAATATATTAGTAACAAATTGCTTCAGAATGAACAGATCATGTAAAAATGTAACTATTAAGGTAGCTAACTCGATTTTTTTGGAATGTGGAGTTAGGCCACATTCAAAATAAACTGCTCATATATATTTATACATTAGCTTGTTTGGAATTCAATTTTTTGTCAATAATAAGTAAGAGAAAATATTTCTTTTCTTTGTATCTTTTTTCTATTTTGCGTTTATGATACAAATCGTTTCGAATGATCGTAAATTGTAGAATTTGATAATTTCAACTTTACAATTACAAAACCCCGAGATTCTATTACTTAATTGACCGATGTCTTGTATCTATCCGTTTAATTTATTTGTCGGTTTTAATTAATGTGTTAAAATGGATGATGGAATTGAATGAGAAAACATTCGGTTAGTTTATATATATATAGGTATATGTATATATTTATATAACATGTAACAAAAAATTTAACCAATGAAATTCATCGATGAAATTAATCAAATACGAAAGGATCCTTGTGATGCTTCATTTCAATCTTTCTTTTGGTTTATGTTTGTGTGTGCATGTGTATGTGTATATATGTGGCTTATATAGACAAAATAAAAAGAACCCAACTATCATCATCCGACCAATATAAAATTAAATTGAACTCGGTGGACGCAATTGATAGAATAAATTATAACCGTTATGGTTCTCCATCTAGTTCCGAATGATCAAACATTTATTGTAGACTTTTTCATTAAAGTTAACGGTTACACGGTTCACCCAATAAATAATTCACACGCAAATATTACATACACCTATACATATATATATACACACACACACGTAGAGTAACTTTCTCTGTTTATTCGGGATTTCTTAGGATCGTGCGAAAGAAACCGTTGTTAGGAATCTAAGTGGTATGAATACGTAATCGCATAAATTCTTTATTCGTTTCATCAGAATTTTCGCTTCCTTGTTTTTTAATATACCATTAAAAAAAAAAAAACAATTAACATTACTGGTTCAGATAAAAAAAAACGAAATCATTTTTAAACACAAGATATAATTTTTTTAATTTATGCTCCATTCTCGTTTGAATAAAAATGTATAAAAAATATATTTGAATAGATTATATATAGGAAAGCATTTTATTGATGAGAAAGAGAGATTATAAGTATGATATATTAAAAAATAAAAAAGATATAAATTTATCGTCATTGGTTTCATTTTTTTTTCTTTTTTTTAGTGTTAATTTCCTTCGCAAGGTATAGAAAGAAACATTGTAAGAAGAAATATTTTTTTGCGGTAATGAAACCGTGGTTATACTCCTACCCGACGACTCTCTGTCCGATATGCATTCCTACATCGCGCTGACGCGTGCATTCTTCTTCGGGCGATAACGTTACTACTTCCTTGCAAGTTACGCACTCGACGATCGTGAAAATAAATTTTATGCGAATTCTTTCTCGAGGATCAAAGCTCTTTTATACCACTTTTAAACATTTTTTGTTTGTTTGATTCTTTGTACCGATTTTTTTTTCATTGTTTATATATATATATATAAAAGTTAACAAATTTATTTGATTCACCATATTATTGAATACTTAATCTTGAATTGTTCATTAAATTATGAATGAATTATTTAATATGAGTTGTTAATTTGATTAAAATATAATTTCAACGTGAAAATTATAAACAATCATTGTTGTTGTTGATATTATTATTATTATCATATTTTATTTTATTTCTATTATTTGAATTAATTTTTGTATTCTTATTTAACCATCTTTACAAGTTTCAAATAATAATGTATTATATTAGTACATTTATTTTATTTTTGATAAATTTTTGAAAAACGATCAACAAGGTATATTGAGATTATGTAAAGAATAATTTTAAACAAACCCAATGTGTACTATACAAAATTCGTTCCTTACAATGATCCTAATGTTCAATAAGGATTAATTGGTAAAATTGTTTTTTATCATTATTATTTTTATTTTATAAATTTCTATTATCGTCGAATTTTTTAGTATAACATTATTTTGTTTGTTTGGTTATTTATTTTTATTTTTTCTTTTTTCTTTGTGAATTTAATTTTTTTTTTTTACTTTTTGTTATACAATTTTGTTAATTTATCTTTTATTTTTTTTTTATTTTTCTTTTTTTTTCTTTTAATATATTCATATATATGTATATATTTTTTTGTATGGACTAGATATTAAAGGACCCTACCGATGTATTGTATTTGCCGAAATCAACAGACAGTGTAACGACAACGTTAGGTTGTTACGAAAATATTCTTAAGGAAACTGCAGACGATTTTTTTATGCAACGACTACGTTCTGTATCTATTGTAAGTATATCATTTATAAGAGATATGCATTATAATTATTATTGTGAAAGTCATCGTATTATGTTGAATCATTTTTCGGAATAATATTTTACGCGATATTTTTTTTTTTTGTTTCGTTTGCTATACCCAAGCAATGTGCATTTTAAAATTTGCACCGAAGAATAATTTATTTATATTTTGTTTTTTCTTTTTTTACCTTTTTTTTTTAGATAAAAGTTATTAAATACAGAATAAATTAATTGATGAAAGATTATTAGAAAAAAAAAAAAGAAATGATTGGGAATATTGTTCTTAACTTTCGATTAATTTTAGAAACATGCGTGTCTGATTCATTGGTAGTTTGATTTATATGAGTTACATACATAAAAGTATTGTTATCGAGTATATCATCCTATCGAGTGTCAACTTTGTTGTTGCTATCGGTATACTTTGATAACAGTAGTACCGTCACGAATTTCTACGTAACCAATTCTTATAGGTGTGGGTTATACAAATTCGATATATAATAACTCTTTTCCTATTTGTATTCATACGAAAGTGAGATATATATATTGAACAGTGTCTTTTAAACGAGGAATGAGTTATTTTCATATATATTTTCTCTTTTTTTTTTTTTTACATTACTGCTTACCATTTTTTTCCATATTTTTCTCCCTCTCTTCCATTTATTTTTGTTTAAATTATTATTTCATAAATTTTTTTTATTATTTTTGCTTTGAATTTAAAGTGATTCGATTGATTAGATTTTGATAAAAAAAAGAGAAAGCAAAAATCGAAATTGTAAGTATTATAACATTATTTTTATTCGTGATTATATCAAAATACAGCAATCTTATTCGTAATATTTTGTTATCATTTAGGCTTCATCCAAACGTTTAGCACTTTACAATGATTTAAAATCGTTTAAAAATAAAAAACCAAATACTTTCTCTAATTTCTTTACCTTGGGATTAATATTGCAAGTGTTTAATATACAAATAGAAAACAACAAAAATACACAATTACAATATAAACGGTCAATTAAAATTAACAAATTATTCTTTTTCTTCTTCTTCTTCTTCTATCTTTGAAACTCAACAAAAGAAGGGAAAGAAAAAAAAATGTTAATTTCTCAGAAAACAAATCCCTTGTTAAGTCATTTCCATACAATTACACTAGGGCACCATCAACGTATACCAACATATATTATACTTAACGTGCTATACGTTTGTATAAAGGGAGAAAAAGAGAGAAAGAAAGATAAAGATAAAGAGAAAAAAGAAAAATATCTTCCATCTCATCGGCAAACCCTCAACTTGTGAAGGTAACGCGATACCTAAAGCTGTAATAAGAGTCTAAGTCTCTGATTATAACATTCTCCTTTCGTTATACGTGTTCTATGCTAAAGAGTAAAATACCCATTGGCTCTAGGGGAAGTAGTAGTAAGTTCGTGGAATAGGAATTGTGGAGAAGGGGGATTTGTGGGGGGGGAATCTTAAGGAAGTCAGTTCTCCTAGGTTGTGAAAAAGAAAGGAAGAAGAATAGTAGTAAGATGAAGCTTCTATTCTAACTGAGGTCACCTGAATTTATAACACTGATAGTGTTAGGTTTGTCAAATTTTCTTCAAATGTTTAAATGTTAAATGGTAAAGGGTGGGTGGGAGGTTAAGGGAAGAAAATTGGGTCGAAAATGCAGAGAGTCTCCTATTCTTCTGTTACTTCTTATTTGTCGTAGATATAACATCGGTCTGGGCACTTAGGTGATATACTTGTCTAACGATAACGATGTGTTCTTTTGATTCGACGAGATGTATAGTGAGAAAGAATGAGAAAAAGAGAGAGAGACGTGTACGTAGATTTATGTACATGTGTATGTATATGTATTTGGCATATATACGCTTAACTCAAGGTCAGACCAAAGTACAAAAGACCTTTTCGTGGCAGTAAAGAATCATTGCGAATATAAAACTATATTCTATTTCTAACCGGTCTTTCTTTTGTCTATCTGTCTATCTATTTGTCTTTCTCTCTCTCTCTCTCTCTCTCTCTCTCTCTCTCTCTCTCTCTCATCCATTCTTTCATTATTTCCTTGAAAGCATCATATATCGGAGACGTTCTCAAGGAAAGGGCGTTCTATTTTCTTAACTAACAAGTTTCTATTTATTATGATCATCTGAATTGTGCAATTTTACGTTATTTCCCTCACCCCTGTGTAAGATATATTTTTATTGGAATTTTTTTATTTATTTGTTTATTAATTTATTTTTTTTACATATCAAATTGAACGTGTGTGTGTGTTCATTTATCCTATAATTCTCTTATTTATTTATTTATTTAAATTATTATACATTTATAGGTTTATTAGATTTGATTGTTGGTTTGCTAATGGACTTTTATCTCACTCAGTTAGTTAAGATGAAAGAGAAAATCAAGGAGTTTAATATATATATATATATATATATGTGAGAAAGGTTCTCCGAAGAATGTGTGTGGTGTTTCTTCGTTCAACTCTATCGTCTTATCTCTACGAGTTTCCGTTCGTGGCTTCGTATTCCGGAAGTTGTCTTTTCCTGCTAATGCTCTTTGACTAAAAGCTAATAAAATACGACAAACTACTCTCACGTTTAATTTAGTTTAATTTAGTTTCTTTAATTTTTAAACTTGACCAATAGTGTCGCTTTCTACCCTTCATTATTTCTTATCGGAGAAAAGTGGCACGAATAAATAACACGATTAAAAATTTTAAATGAAGCTTAAGTAGTAGTTTGCTAGCACTAACTTTCAATATATATATATATATTTCGAATCATAAAAAAATAAAAATAAAAAAAATAAAATAAAACGTTAGAACGTAATTCAATTATAGTACGAAATACCAACAAAAAAAGAAAACTATATTTTAAGAAAAAAAAAGCTTGCAAAATAAAGGGTTGATCGATATTAGCATAAACTTTAACCCCCTTCACCCTCACTCTACACACACACACATACACACACATACACACACATACAAGTACACCCATGTGTATACACGTACGCATAAATAATTAACATCAGAACAGATCGACGATACTTCTTTACATTTATTCTCATCGAGAAACATAACCGGTAGTCATCGAAATGAGACGAAAGAAAAACTCTTTAAGGGGGGAAGGTGTATATTTATGTTTATGTGTATGCATATGTGAAGGGTTGAGTACATGAATTGTCGTCTCTCTTTCCATTTCTGTGTGTAGAACGCGTTTGCTACGTTTACCTTCTTTTCTGACACGATATGCCGCTAGATACACAGAAGTCGTCGTAGGTTTCTCCCTTTTTTTTTTCTTTCTCTCTCTCTCTCTCTCTCTCTCTCTCTCTCTCTCTCTTCTCTTTCTCCCTTTTACCCTTTCGCAGGTACGGGGATTAAACGCGCGGTGTATGTTGAGAAACAATGGCGTACCAGGCGTTCTCTATACTCCCCCCTCTTCTTTTTTTCTCTCAAATCTCGACGAATACACACATGCATGCATGCACACATACACATACACTCATGTATGCACATACATATAGAATTGTATATATATATATATATATGAGAAAACGTGAACAAGGAGCGTGTCTGCGGCTTGCGAAGAAGTGCAATCAAGTCCTGGCAAAAGGGTGTAGCATTTCATAAAGGTCACATCCATGAACGTATACTCTTCACTCCTCCACCCTGGGGATTATTAAAATCAACCAACCCCCGCGTACTACTGCTGTGCACTACCAAGCACATCGACGAGAGTTTTCTCTTCTTCTTCTACTACTACTACTATTACTACTACTACTACTACTACTACTCTTCTTTCCTCTCCTTTTTTCTACTTTCCTTTTCCCTTCTCTTCTTCTTCTTTTTTTTATCTACCCTTTTTATCAACTGTCTCTCTCTTTTTTTCTTCATACTCTTCACTTCACTTCACTTCACTTCACATCTTCGTAACGTCTCGTTACATTCTCGTTTCAAAATTCTTTCTTTCTACTTTGATCGAGTTCTTCCCTAATCCCTTCCCTTCCCCCTCCTCTACGGCCCTTTTTTTTTTATTTTTCGTTTTCTTCTTCATTTTTTTTTTTAGTCATTCTCTGACTTTTTCGTGCATTACTTTTCGTTTCGTTACTTTCTTCCCTTTGATTTTTGATCATGTTGATCTTTTTTCTCCTTTTTTCTTCTTCTCTTCAATTCCTTTCGTTCTTCTTATTGCTCCCTCGCTTTTTATTATTTTCCACGAACATATTTATTTGTATATGTATGTATATAAATGTATAATATATATATATATATATATATATAAAGTATAATTTTTTTCGAACGTCGAATTTTTATTAAACTTTTTTTTCGTCTCTTTCTAAATATAATAAATTTTTTTTTTTTTTAATTTTTCATAGCTCATAGTTTCTACTACTTTTATTACTTTACTATTGCATCGATTTTTGTTATTTTCTTTCTTTCTTTCTTTCTTTCTCTTTCTCTCTCTCTCTCTCTCTCTCTCCTATTGTTGTAATTTAGCATTCTTCCTTTATCTATTTCGTTTCTTTGAAAATCATTTTTGATACGTTTTCATTTCGAACTTATTCATTTGATTTTATTTACAAGTTTCCTCTTTTCCATCTCTCACCTCCTACTCCTTTAATTTTTTTATTTTTCATTTCTTCGATCTTTCTTATTACAGTCTCTAATTTTATATATGTTGTATATTGTAATTTCGATTACATTCTCTGTCTTTTTTATTCGTACTCTCGTCTCGATTTATATTAAAATTTTAAGGGGGTATTCTGGTCTAGAAGCATGGATTTTAGGTACTTTTTCAAGTGCAATAACAAAAAGACGAATAATATTTTCACTATCTATAATGTTACAAGATATTTATTAATATTTCAAGAATACATGAAAAAAAAAATAGTGAAAAAATTCAAAATTGAAAAAGATATAGGCTGATGAAGTGGGGGGTCTAAAAAAATTGGTGCTCGACGGTTGTCACGATTGCAGCTCTTCTAATAATCCGAAAT